TCAAATAAATGGCCATATAAAGTATGATATAGCCATGTATACAGTCATAAGAAGTTATACTTTTATAAACTATTAATCTAAAGGGAAAAACACAATTTTAAGTGAAAAAACAAGGCTATGAATTTATGTAGGTAAAATTCAATTTTAATTTTAGAGAAAAATACATATATGTATTACAAACATAGGAAAAAGCTTAAAAACTAGAAGGAAATGCTTTTTATAGAAAAACTCACAGTACTAGTAGGGTGTGTAAAAGTGGAGACATTTCTGACTCTCATGTCACTAATCTTAAATGAGAGATTTATATTTTGTGTTGAAAGCCAAGCAACTCTTAAGTTAATAATACAGTGTTAACCATGGCTATTGGCTGAGATTCAATAAATATGTGGAAAACCTTTACTTTTGCAATGCATAATATTTCCATTTCTGTTCATAGCAGTTCAGAAAGTGAAGATAGAGATGCGGCTCATAACGCCCCTACCAGGAAAATCCCCAGTAGGCTGGTTGTGCTATCTGACCTCCTAAGATTGGCAGACAGTGGGTGAGAAATAATCTCAGGTTTTCCCCTTTGCACTCATGAGCAGAGATGGGCCGCCTTCTGCACTCTGTTGAAGCAAGGGCACAGTTGGGATCCAGAGCTGGGAAACACCTCCCAGATGGCGCAGGTCCACCTGCTCTTTCTCCAGATGAACAGGGCAAGAAATCTAACCCAGGGAAACAGTCATACAGAAAGTGGAATCTGATGGTTATCCTGAGCTTTCTGGTGCGTTGACCAGTTTTTCTACCCAAAGTGAGAATTCTTCTATCAATTCACATTCCTTTTTACGACTTCTCATTGGATGACAGATTTGCTTATTGGGCCAAAAGAGCCACTCCTGATACTATTGCAGACAAGTATAATCCACGATTTACATTAACAGTCCTTCAAACACTTGAAGACAGCTTTCATGAATTTAATAACTGCTTTCCGTGTAACTCTTTTTTTTTAAATTTCAAGAATAGAACATAGTACACCATAAAAATGAGTGTTATCAGTCTTCCTTTGGATTTTCTATGTAAATGTTGTTTAACATTCAAATGGTGCTGATTATAATTTGAGATATTAATGGTTAGATATGCCATTGTGTCCCTCTGTTATTGTTTGAAAAGGAGGTTAAACACTATTAACTTCTGAGTAGTGATTTACTGTTTCCTTTGTTAGAGAGAAATAAAAAAGTAAAATAATATAATTTGATATTGCCATTGAGATTTTTCAGTTTGTGGAGCTCTTTATTTCATATTCAAGTTTTATTTTTTTTAAAAAAGCATACATGCGCTGTAAGTACGGTGTCACACAGATGCGGAGCTGTTTTTCCTCATGTAAGCGGCTGAGCAATATTGCTCTGTAACCATTAAGCAGCTGCTCTGCCTCAAAGACGCTCGTATTTCTTTTGCTAGACGAAGGAGGTATACTCTATGAATGTCTCCAAACTGCTTTTCCGATCTTTGACCATTGTGGATCAATTTTTGAGACTCACAGTAGCCATGTAGTATGTGAAAACTATGTTTCAGAAAGGCCCTGGGAGCCTGGAGGTTACCGGAGCTCTGTTTCAGCTGCATTCCCTCTGGCTGAGTCCCAGCTCTTACTGCAGGGCTCCTCACCCACTTCAGGATCCTTCCCAGGTATTTTGTGAGTCCTCACACATTGTCTCTTGTAGGCTTGGGCAAGCAGCATTAGCTAGCCAGGTACCGTGTTTCTTTCTCTGCTTTGCCTTATCTTGGGTCATGTTCATCCAGTACAGAGGCTCTGTGCTCTGTGCAGAGAAGCATGAAAGTGGCAGCTATCTGCTTCAGACACATGTGCAGGCCACCCCCTTGCCTGGTTCCCATCCACTCCCAAGCTAGCCGACTGATTCCCAGACACCCGCCACCCGCTTTGGCAGTAGTCATCAACCCTGTTCTTCAGGAATCCTCTATTCACTGAAGCCGTTCTGTGCTCCTTGCAAGAGCAAAGCCATGTGGAATCCCTGGGTATAAAGTTTTTACAGATTTAGTAAAACATTTTCAGTTTTCCTGGTAGATTTTAGTTTCTTAGACCTTGAAGAATTGGAGGTGAGGAGTGGAGAAACTTCCAGCTACATTCTGAGCGCCTTGCCTTTTCAGTGGGATAGTCATTGTATTCTGTCTGTGTTTGACTGCCTTACTCTCCTGGGTACAGCCAGCTCTGAGGTGGCTGATTTTACCCCTAATATTTGCTCCTGATAGGATCATTTCATCTCTGTCCATGTGACTGGGACACAGATGGACTTCTGACTGCGTATTAGTGTAAGAAGAAAATGAACTTCAGTCTACATATTGAAATGTTGTACATTACATGTGCTGTAATGCGTATAAATATATTTGGATGTTCAACAATTAATCACTCATTTACACATTTATTTTCATGTATTTTTCAACTCCAATGATTTGAACAGTTCTGGTCTTTTGGTTGTTATTTTGTATTAAAGGCCTGAATTACACATTAATACACAAGGAGAGAGCTGGGCCATAGTATAATTCCAATCCTTACTCTTTCCCATTCTACCCAAAAGCCTAAAGCCGGCTCAGCACATGAGTTCTAGGGCGTGAGGATGATCAGTATAGTTCACCATTAGTCTTCAGCCATCCGTATCTGCATTCTTATAACATCACTAAGTTGTTAGCCCATGACCTTGTTTTACCAGGTTAAGTTTGGTCCGTTTAGCAGTTGCGCTGTGAATGGGCAGTGAAGTCCTGTTGAGGAAGACAGGGACGTGAGCAGAGCCCCGTCCCACCCTGAATCAAGGAGCTGAGGATCCCGTGAGAAACTCAAGATTTAAAAACCCACCTTGGAAAGTGGGAATATGTAGTAAATCCAAACTAGCTGTGGTTTGAGTGCAGAGGACAGAGTGTATTTCTGGGTGGGCCTGGTGGAGGGGGTGCAGGAATGAGGGTGGGGGCTGAGGGGACCCCGAGGGATGGAAGTTGTGTGCACAAAGTGTATGGAATTAAACGGCGCTGAGAGGGGCCCCGGGGGCAGGCGCTGACAGCACAGCTGATCTGGTCTCAGTACATAGATGAGCCGAATGTTTTCTATTTAATGTATTGGCTTTATTAGTTGTACTGTGCATAAAGCATAATTAGCTATTCTTTAAAACCAACAAAAACAAATCTGCATACAGTGATAATTTACAGTGTTCTGCAAAATTAAAGGCATCATTTTCCTCACACAAGGTGAAGGTGGTCACTTAGCCTTTTGTTGCATTCGTGACTTTTGGAACCTTGCGCGGTGTAGGTTACATAGTCGCCACTCTCCGCAGCCACCGAAAGGAATTCAACCTGGTGAAAAAACTGCTCAAGTTTCTTAAAATAGAAGTGCATCAAGTAGGGACATTGTGTTATTATTCTTTTTACAAATTCATTTTCACAGTGATGACTTCATGTGTGCTCTAAGTTTTATCACTAATGGAACCCTTCCAGTTCCTTTTTATGCTTTGCTTTCGTCCCTTGCGTTTCCGAAGGGGTAACCGGTGGGTATAAAAGCAGCATTCAGATGTCTCTGTTCACAGCCATGAGGACTGTCTGCCAGTTAAATGACTTTCTTTCTTTTCGTGCTCTGTATGGTTAGAAAACAGTGTGATGATTTTTGTCCCTGCCAGTTTTCAGAATAAAGACTTAAAAATAATCTGGGAATGTTTGAAGTTCCATGTCTCTGATCCAATGTGTGGTGGACTCCTGCCTCTGCTGGCCAGACCTATCCATCACATCTAACTGTGCTTACTGTGGGCTTTATGTCGCAAGGACTCTGTAAGGTGGGTGTCGCTAATTAGAGATGAGGAATTAGAAGTACAGAGAGGTCCCAAACCACAGCCCTGGGTCTAGTACACTGAGGCAGGGATCCGACTTGAGTGCCCTGCATGGCCAGGCCATCCGTGCATTACCAGCCTGTGCTGAATCCCACACGTCAGGCGGCCCTAAAACAGCTGTAAAATCCAATCAAGTTGCCAGTTCCTGCAGTCTAGAACCCCCACCCCTGAAGTATTTCAGTTCTGACGGTTTTCAGACTATTCTCACTTTCCCTGTCCTTGGGGCAGCAGGAAGTAGGCTGCATCCCACCTTCCAGGGTCGTGGTCCCCCTCACCCTCGCCACAGCCCCTTGACATGAGGAAGAACAGAGGGTTGTTGCTGTTCGTGGGCATCCTTGGCTTTCGTGTGCCACACCCCAGGCTCCAGAAGAACCTATGGTTCACAGTCACTGCAGACGCAGTGCCTAGATTTCACACGAGGGCCACGCGGCATTCTTGGAGGCCTGGATTCACTCTAAGAAACTGGGCATAAAATGTCCTGTTCTTGAAATAAAGGGGTACAAGGAGTAGTAGCAAGAGTAGGAAAAGCACTGAAATTATTCAAGCCAGGTATATTAAAGGTGCACAGAAATAGTTTGAGTCAAAGAAGTATTCGCTGTGTGTGCGTAGTTCCGCTTGTGTATTAGGAGTGACCCTGGAACAAGAGTAGGAGTGTGAGGACCAACAGCTCAGTTTTCTGTAATCAGGGCAGGATCTGTGAAAGAACAGTGGTTTCAAGAGATCTCTGAAGTATTTCCAACAAAGTGCTAATTGTGGTTGTGGTTTTCCCTTTTCTTTCCTTCATTTTTTTTTTTTAAATGGGTAGACTTTAGCCTACCAGGTGCTTTGGAGTCTAATGCACTCAGAATGTCCTGAACCTTAATTCTCTATGCGTGGGTCATGGCAAATCAAACCACACCAATTGCTTTGTATATTTAGAAAGAAAAAAATTTTGTAGCAGTTTATTTACCATCTAAACTTTTTACTTTTGTTTAAACAGGCTGGCGTTCACAGGAGTTTTGCTTTTACTGTGCTTGTTATAAGCATTCTTAGTTTTTGTTCTAACCTGAACAAAATGAACAAATCCTAGCATGTAATGAATTTTTAAAAGAAACTTCCTGCTTATATTGATCTTTTTCCTCTTGATGTTTATTTCAGGATACCTTGAGGATAGTTTTGTAAAGTCTGGAGTCTTCAATGTATCAGAACTTGTGAGGGTATCCAGAAGTAAGTAAATTGCTTTCTTATTATTGAAGTGTACTGCCTAATGTAAAATATTTTATATTTTAACCTTAAGTATAATATAAAGAATATATGTTAGGAATATTTAAGTTTTAAAATTCTCAATCATTTAATAAAACTATAAGTGAGTATACCCCATTCTCTAAAATATTTACATTCAAATCACCAAAACTTCCTGCTGTACAAAACTAATTGGTAGCTTGCTCTTAGTGCCACGTTACTGGTATTCATTTAGTTCAGCTCTCTCTGTGACCATAGATGGGCATTATATCTAAGGAAGTGTGATTAATTAAATGCACTCTGTGTTGTTATGATAACCCACATAAGTTTCCTGTAGATAAGTGCTTTTCATTTTATGAACATTTTGGTGGGGAGTTGAGATGTTCAGGATATACACGAACATGCAGAGTGTAAAGGGATGCAGAAATTAACTTTACAGATTGTAGCTGGATATAGATAGAAAGTATTGTTATCCAAAACAATGTGCAATTGTTTAAACTGGCTACCTTACCTGAGATACTACCATTCTTGGCAGGCTGGATCAGATTTTTCTAGGGTAAGCTCACCTGGCTGGCTACCTAAGCAGGGGGAAATTTTCTTGATCAATTCCTTCACGTATTACTAGAGTGCAAATATATCTAAGCTGCAGATCTTAAGGCACTGATGATGTTAAAGGAGGTGACTCCTTCTGCTCCCTTCTCTGGTTCAGATTATTCATGCAGTGTTGAATAGAATGTTTTAACCTGATGTTTTCATAGAATGATTCTATTTAGATGATGAGGTGTACTTTTTGATACTTGCTTGAGTTGTATTTCTCATTTGGGTCAAATTCAGAGATCATGAACAAGCATTACAACCGTTCAAAAAGAAGGGAGCGGGTCGGAGTCAACAACACTTTATTTTCCATGAAGGGATCGCTAAGTAGTAGGTGACTAGGTCTTTTCCACTGTAGTTTCTCAAATAGCTCAGCGTTCTAAAGTAGACAGAACAAACAGCACGCTTATCACATAGGAGAAACATGAAGACTTGCATTTTCTGGCACAGTTGGAGGGTGGATAAATGCATGGCCAAAGGAGTGCTGTCCTGGTATCTACTTGGGGACAGTGTAGGAGAGAGAAATAAAAATTCTGTAACCTAGGAGCTCCAGGGTATGGATTTGCATGGCAAGAGATTCTCAGGGTCTATTTCACTGTCTCAGGCTGTCTCATGTATTTGTCAGACCCACGTATGCTATGTCAAGGCCTCTAACATTTGAAACTTTTAAATTTTGACTCAGAAAGGGATATGCTGGGCTTATTTACTGTTGCATTCCAGCGCCATGAGGGTTTGGTCTGTGCCTTCCTACTGTTGTTTAGCAGAAAGGCTGTGCTATTAAAGTTATAAGGCATGTACCATTATTTGCTTGAATTTGTGCTTCTGTAAATTCCATAATGTATTTTCATCCTTCTAATGAGAAGGGCAGTAGAGTCATCTGCCAGAAAATATTTAGTAGTGCCTCATTATGGTGCTGTCGGAGGAGAACCACTTTGGAACCTTCAAAGTCCCAGAGTGCTACTTTGAAAAATCTGAATTTCAAACATAAGAAAGATTAAAAATACCTTCCCATAACATTTCAGAAACAAGGTAAATTTACCATACTTCATTCATTCATTTCTAATTCACGTTGTCATTTCTTAGAGGTTTTTAGGTTGTTTGTTATAACAAACATTACTGATTTGTAATTAGTACATTAATTATCCATATTTATTCCTTAGTTAATGTATTCAGCATTTATTTCCTCCTCCGTATGTAAATAGGTGTCTCTGAAATGCTTGAGAAGTTATGCTCCTAAGTGCTTCAGTATAATCACATTATGGTCCTGTTTACACAATTGAACTTCATTGTTTATGAAATAAGAGTTTGCTAAATCAACATCCACGTTAGCACCACATTAGGCGCCTTGTCACAAATTCGGACTTGTTGAGGGTTCCCAGCATGGGAACTGCTCCGTCCTGGTTTTACTACACAAGACGCTCTGTGCTTGTCCTGACTTCCGGTGGCGCTCAGCTTTGCTTTCCGGCAGCTCCTGGAGGACGCGGCCCTAACCATGTCTTCTCCGCATCTGCTGTGCTGATTGGAAGTGGAAGACCTAGCCCAGCCGCACTCTTCTTATGTGCTCTCCTTCTTGCTAAATAAATATTTGCGCAGTTTTAGTGTTTTGGCCGTGTTTACCGATCTACTTTTCTTTCTGTAATCTCCCATTTACTGTCAGAATGCATGCTAAATTTTTATAGTGTGCATATGTAGAAATTATTTTTATTGCTCTCTTGATACCCTGGAATGACCCTTCTGGAACAAAATTTAGAAAGAAAACCAACATTCCTGAAGATATTTTATATTATCACTTCACTCTAAATGACACCCAGCATTTTTATGGCCAAGCAATCTGTGTTCACTCTTGAGCCATATAATATCTAACAGAAATAAATCTTTGCCTAAATTATTCTTAATGAATTTGGAAATAGTTTCTAAAATATATGACCTGTAAGTATCCCGTTAGTAACTCAGGTCTTTAAATTGCATCTCTGCAGTAAGAGGTTAGGTTGCTGACTAACACACGTTCCGATTTCGATGGAGCAGGGAACGTGGTTCTGATAACACATTTTGAAGCATGTGGTTACTGCGGGATTTCTTACCTCACATTTTTTTTAACCTCTGGTATACCTCAAGCCACAACAAACACAGATACATCTTAGCTGTCTGAATAATTCAAGCCATTAGGCTTAGTGACACATTGCATACAAAAATGTTTCTATGCAAAAGGAAGTTAAACTATGTGATGTAGAATGAACAATCTAATAAAAGGCAGGTGCTCCAGAAGTTTGGTGCTGAGACTCATTGTATACGTGGTGACTTCATTATCAGTAGAGAAGAGAGATACTGATAGTCACTGGATGTTCCTTCTGTACGTCTCCTCACTGAAGGATGTATCTCCTAATCCTACTCTCTTAAAAATATTTTTAAGTTAATCTTGGCGTACAACTCAAATGATAGTGGATGATATACATTGATAACATTTATGATAAATTTTAGTTAGAATTTTCTTGAAAATTGTGTGGTCTCGTTGGAGAAAGTTGGGGGGAGGTGACTTATACCTTGTGGCCTTAGAGTGGATTTTGAGTTCTGGAATTTTATGGCCAGGTTTTAGGCCACCCTCTTAGTAGCTTCTGAAAGCCTGAAGGAGAAGAAACAAACTGGCCCTGGGCACTACCTTGTGATACCAGCTGCCTATGTCTTTGCTGTGCATTCTGTTTCTGTCCTTGGCTTTGTTCCTGCAGCAGACCTTATTTGGAGAATCTTCCCGCATTCTCCACAGTCCAGAGTCTGATACAACTTTTCCACGGATTGCTTTGACCCTTTGAGCCCGTTTTGGATTCTTTTGCCCTGCAAATCCTGAAGCATGTTGTTAATTTGGGCAGCTTTATTATAATCAACACTCTCCTCATATTTATAGGTCTTTGTGCAAGTTTGTATTTACCCAACTTGTTGCCCAGTATGTTTTTAATGGTAGGGGTTCTGAGATTAGTTTTCATTCATTGGAATACTTGACCAGAATGGACACAATCAATAACGTTCGAGTGAACCAACATTCAGAAAACAAGTTCATTTATATTGCTTCATTCACTTTTTAACACATTTTTCGAACTGTTCCATCTTTGCTAATAACCCTACAGGGAAGAAATGGAGGAAGAAAGAAAAGAAAAAAAGGGAACTGTGATTCATTGAGCACCTTTTATGTATTAGTCACGATGCTGCGTTTTTATCATTCCTTATTACCTCATTCATCTTCACAATAATTGTATGTGATACGTTATTATTTCCATTTTATAGTTTAGGAAACTGAGGCAAATGGCAGAGGAGATTTGATCAAAAGACTATTTCCCAGTATTCTGCTTACTGCAACATAACATACTGCCCCCATATTTATTCAAGATGTCTAAAAATTAACTTTAGAACTTGGAGCAGATGTAATCATTGTACAAAAATACTTACGTATGAAAGCTAGGCGTGGTGGTGCACGCCTGTAATCCCAGCACTTGGGAGGCTGAGGCAGGAGGATCGCTGTGAGTTTGAGATCAGCCTGGGCTACATAGTGAGTTCCAGGACAGTCTCTTCTCAGCCCCGCCACTCTTCCCTGTTTACAAAGGCTTTGATTCCATGTTTTTCCTTTTCACATATTTTTTCTTTTCCCTTTTAACCTTTTCCCTACCCCTCCCACTTCCTTTACTCTTTTAGACTTTTCTTCTTATTACAAATATCATTTATACATTTTAATCCTTATTTACACTTTTATTTCATCTTTGTAAATTGTACTTATATACCTGTCCTAACACAATAATTATTTACATCACATGGTTATAAATATTTAACTTTTAATCCATTCTGATATTAATACTGCAGAGCAATAATCTTTGGTTTGTATTTGTGAAATTTATTTATTTTGCAGTGATTTTGTTTCATACGAGGCAACTCTTTTGGTGTTGAGGGATAGGAATCGTGTTCTCCCCGCCCTACCCCAAGTGTGGCAATTCGTATAAAAGAGTGTGTGGGGGTGGCTGGGAGGGATTAGGGACGGTGTTAACCAGTGATTGTAGTGTGAGTGTCGGCAGCGTCCCAGGGCAATATGAGAACAATTTCAAGTCTGACCACAGATTATGGTAGATAGTAGGTGCTTGGGGTAAAGAGAGCTCTCTGCCTTGCTGGAGACAGGGAGAACACTGAATCCCCACATCCGAACGGAGATGAAAAATGTAAATGTCAGCCTCTGTGTTTCTTTCCGTTTTATTGTTCAGCACCCATAACCCAGGGAACTGGAGTCAATTTTCCAATTGGAGAGATCCCGAGCCAACCGTACTATCACGACATGAACTCCGGGGTTAATCTTCAGAGGTCACTGTCTTCTCCACCGAGCAGGTATGAGAGGGGCTGCTGTCCTTCCGTCCTGTGCTCACAGGAGTGGGAGGGTTGGCAAAGAGGGGGCAAGTGAAGCAGCTTCTGCTGGTCGTCTGCAGACTCGATCTTCTCTGTTACGTGTTATTTTGGTATTCGCAAATTAAATGTATTTGTCGCTCGAACCACTTTTGAAAACCACTTTTGTGTGTGTAGACAAACTATGAAAATACATATGTCAGTAATAAAAGTTAACTGCATTTGAATTAAGTACAGTATTATGCACGCATGTGTATGAAGTAAGGCCAACTTTATGTCATTTGCGGACAGACTATTTTTTCGTATAGATTGTGTGTCAAGGCAAGTTAGCGAATTATCTAAAATTAGCTCTGACATGTTAAGGTCTTAAAAAATAATTTTTCTAAATTTAAAATGTAGACAGTGATTTTTAAATTTTGTCTGCTGGACCTTCCTCATGGTCACTCGCTGTCATACTGTGTTCTTCAGAATAAACAAGGTTGGGGCCGGGCGTGGCGGTGCACGCCTGTCATCCCAGCACTCGGGAGACTGAGGCAGGAGGGTCGCTGTGAGTTCGAGACCAGCCTGGGCTACATAGTGAGTTCCAGGTCAGTCTCAGCTACATAGTGAGACCCTGTCTCAAAAAAAAACAAAAAACCAAACAAAGCAAAAGAATAAACAAGGTTGAAAGACATGTCTCCATTACTTACTTTTGAAAATGAGTTTTTCCCCATTTTAAGTTTTTCCCAGTTCAACTGATTCACCAAGGGAAGAAACAGATTCGAAGAACTGTTTAGTTTTTGAGTTTAACTTTGGCTGCCTTAGGAGAGACTAAAAGAAATATTCCTCAATCTTATTATGATTCAATAGGGATAGAAATTACATCTTTAATCATGCTAGTGTTCTGGGAATTGTGAGTCAAATGTTAATCATAGGTACGTTTACAGCGGACCGCGACACACGCAGGCTTGGCGTGCTTGGGAATCCTGTGGCTGGAGGAGCACAGGTTTCTCCTGTGTGTCTCACGGCTTCCATTCACTTGCTCTGCGTCGTTCGCTGGATTCTTCCAAGTTCGTTTCCTCATTTGTTAAAAAATAGGAGCAGTTTATGATATGATTTCTGAGTGTATTTCTAATTCTGAAATCCTGTTACATTTATTGGTTTTTACCAGCTGCAAATGTAAATATTTCGAGAAATATATAATTCATTTTCATTGTCCTGACACTTACAGGAGGAAAAGTTTACTTTCCACGATTTCAGTGTGTGTAGTGGGTGGGTGGTCAGCTCCGAAAGAGAAAGGCATGGTGGGAAAGTTTGGGGGAGCAGAGCTCACCTCACGGCAGCCAGGAAGCAGAGTGGGAGGGGCAGGGAGCGGAGCTGGAGAAGACGCCCTTCCAGGACAGGCACGGGGTCACCTCCAGCCACCTCTGCTGCTCGCCACGCGCTCTGCTCTGCACTTCTCAGTGGATGAATCCACTGGTGCATTTGGCACTGTATCCAGTCACTTTCCAAACGCATGAGACTTTGAGAGGACCTTTCAGATCTAAACAGTATCATTCATGTTTTTTAGTTCTTACTGGTAAGGTTCAGAACTATTTTTTAAAGTTAAAAATAATTCATTTTTATAGTCATAACTAATAAGGTATTAGTGAGAAGAGATAAAAGCAGCATATCAAGCAGGATGGCCTATATCATAGTCTTTGAAATTTTGTTCCAGACATTTACTTCCTTAATAGTAAGAATCATATTTTCTTCATTAAAAGGTACCAGTCTAACAGCACACCATTTAGTTCAAAATTTCTAAGATTTTCATGTTTTACCTTAAGAATAAAGTATCAATAGATAGCCTTACTTTTTTAGAAAAAAGGTATAGAAGAATTCATCACGAAGTATATAATCAGCAGAGTACTATAAAATTTATTATTATTATTAATTACAAGGTTAATACTAATAATATTTAATGAGTATCTTCTAAATGCCAGCCACTTAAGTAAGAGCTTTACAGTTAATACCTCATTTAATCTTCTCAACCATCCCCCTTTGAAGTAGGTTTTTATTATTTCCATTTTACCGATGATTAAACTGAGGTTAGAAAGGTTATGGAGCTTACCATTAAGAATTAATATATGGCTTAGTCAAGACTTGAGACTTCCAAAGCTCTTGTTCTACTCTATTCCATTATCTTATCTCTGAATTAACATAAAAGAATCACATTGTCATGGCAAATGCTATGCAAATGAACATTATTGATCATCATAATAAAAGTCAAGAACAGGGGCTGGAGATTTGGCTCAGTGGTTCTGCCATCTGCTTCGCAAGCGCAAGGGCCCAAGTTTGATCCGGTACCCCCTCCCCAAAAGTCAAGAACTGTCTTAACACAATTTCAGTGTTTCACTATGAATGAAATTTCTCTGGAAAAGCATTTGAAAATGTAAATATAATGAACATCATACTTGTTAGGTAGGTGCAGGTATATGATAGTATAATAAATAGCATACGAAACTAGAAATGTGTGCTATTCTTGGTGACATCTTGAATATTCACCACCTTTTCAAGATGATTAGATTACTGGTGTTTATGGAAGTTGCCACAGTAAGAACCTCAAGTCATTTGCTTTTAAATGCTACATACTTCTGAGAAGTCCTATTAATATATTATATAATTGTCATATTATTAACAGCAAAAGACCCAAAACCATATCCATAGATGAAAATATGGAACCAAGTCCCACAGGAGACTTCTACCCCTCTCCAAATTCACCAGCTGCTGGAAGTCGAACATGGCATGAAAGAGATCAAGGTGGGTAAGAAGAGGCTGCATCCAGGGACGTCGGGGGAGAGCTGGCTCATTTCCTAAGTTTCATTGGTTTGCCTGTCATGGGGGAACCGATATGGGTTGTGTTTTCTTCATGAAGTGATTTTAGTAAGATTATTTTATCAGAGTTATTAAAATTGTACTTTTTACCTATTTTGTTACTCAGATTGAATGTGTGACTGATTATAGTCTGTGCATAGTGTTGGTGAGGCTGGACAGAACCACGAGTTCTGGTTCAGGTACATGAGAGTGTTCTCTACAGGGCATCTTCCGAGGAGTCAAGCTTTAAGCAGTTTTCATGTACTAGACACTGAAAATTCTTAATTAAAGGAAGCTGTAATTCCTTTTGGAACTAAGTAGAGCATAAATAGTAAATGAAAGTATGATATAAAGGACTATTTCTGAGTCAGTCAAGTTTTACCTCCCAAGTAAAACCAGGACCCAATTTCAGAGTAGCTTTAAGAATAAGTTTAAGAAATAGGTGTTGTGCAGCTTCTCAGGGTCTGATGTAGTTCTTTTTCCTTCTTAACATCTGTTGCGGCTCCCCAGGTTCTTCCCTACAGCTAGAGAGACGTCGTTAATCATAGAAAGAGAGAAATGAACTACCTGCAATTTTTGGCAATATGCGTGCATGTGTACACATATGCTTTTATAATGGTACCATCAAAATGCATTTGGAATTGTCTTTTAAATTCTACATTTAAAAATATAAAAGAAAGATGCTCTTCAACAGTGGTTTTTAGCCCAAGCGTTGGGTGTGTATGTACGGAGTGAGGTTGGGATCTGTGTGTTCAGTGATCTCAGTAGATAGGTAACTCTGGTGCTCAGCAGGCCAGGCCAAAATCAGTTCCTTATCAGAATTCTTTTTTTTTTTTTAACAGCTCAGAATTTTTATATTGAGTGACATAGGATTTAAAGGATAGTGAAAAACCTTTGTGGATGAATTAGACTTTGGGTCATTTGGGCTCCCTTTAGCATGTTGTAATTTTAACTTGTAAACAAGTCAGGGGTCAGAGAGCAGACACGGGGACCAAAGAAGGGGAACCGACAAAGGAACAGCCTTGTGCTGCTGTGGAGAAGTGAGTTTGGGAAGGGCCTGTGCACCTTGGCCGGACATGGTAGATATGAAGGGAGGGGTGGCAGGTGACCAAGGTGTTTATGGAAGGATTTGAGATCAGCTGGGGAATTTTGGCATTGAGACCCTCTCCCAGTCTGTTCTTCAGTAGAAAAAGACCATCTGTATAAAAGGCAAACACCGTTCTCTCATCCCCTTCACACCCTTCAGTAACTTCCCACTGCTCTAGGGAGAAAATCAGAACTCCCTCCCTGCCTGCTGCTGCAGCCTCTGCAGGTGCCACTCTGCTCTTCTGTCCTGGTTCCACCTGCACCCACTGCTTTGTTGGGTTGGGGAGTGCAGTACCCAGGATCTTCCAATGGACCATGCCCCCTGGAGTTCTCTTCTCCTACCTCTCCACCTGGTAACCCCCCACCCCTGCAGGGCCCAGCTTCCACCGAGGGGATTCCACCCGAAATTAGTTCCTGAGGTTTTTGCCTCCTGGAACCCAACACTGTTCCCCATTGTCCTCATAATATGTACTACGTATTTATTTATAGGACTAATTGTCCAGAACTGCCTATACTGTGAGGGTGTGGTCCTGCAACGTTTTGGCTACCAGTGAAACCAGACCCTCATAGAACCAACATGCAGTGACTGTGGTAGGGACACGATAAGTAATTGGTTGGAAAATGAAGCCCTGATAGGAAGAGCTCTGGTTTCAGGTGTGAAGGTGAGAAATAATAGAGACTTTTTCCAGAGTTGTAGAACGATGAATAAAAACAAAATCCTCAAGCCCTTTTACATTTTATTGCTGGTTTTACTGACATTGTCAGTTTATTTTTAAACAAAGCTGTATTTTCCCTGTCGGGAAATTATTCTGGAAAGAATTCTAGTGGTAATAATAACAACACTTTCAATGTGTGAGAATGGGTGCGTTGTTCAGAAGTGTAGGTGTTCTTTATTATAGAGAATGTCATTCTGTACGAACTGATTCCCCTTTCAGCCTATTCAATAAAGCCAATCTCAAATCATATTATAAAACATTTTTGAAAAGTAGACGGGAAACTGTCATTCTTTCTCTTTGTAAAGTCAGTGCATTGTCTTGATGATTTCCCATTGTCAAGATGACTAGAATTATTAGAGAAACGTTTAAGGGTATATTACACTCAGAGTGAGGAAGAGTGCTCCGTTCTCAAGTGTGCCTTAAAAAAATCCTCCGTCACCTTAATTTTGAAGACCTTGAAGACTTTGCAATAATAAGCCATTGTGGGAAGATGACTTCAGCAACAATGGAAAACTGGGAGCAGTCCAGCACTGCTTTTGTAATTTCTCTCACCCCACTGCCGTCCTTTTGTTCTAAGAAAATTGCTTTTTTAAAAAATTTGCAAAATAGAATGGCTCACTGTTGTTCTGGTCCGTCTTCAGATGTTCTTTACATGCACTCGTCTGTCAGAGGGATGCGATAAAGAAGTGCTGAGCTCCACTCCAGCACTGGGAGGCTTTCTCCCATGAAGCCCTGCACTAACTACCGATGGACGGATCGATCGCAATATGGTTGTCTTTGTAATTGGCAGAAATACTTACAATCAACTATTATTTCCTTGGCGTTTGTCTTTCTCTGTTAATATTAACTTTGCATTAAAATTTACTCTTGCCACAGCCCTTAGCAAAAATGGTTTTTGGAAAAACTGTACAAGAATAAAATATAACAAAAGTATGGACAATATATGAAATTTGACTATCCAGTAGTCATCACCAATATTAATTCAACTTCATAGTATTAATCACCAACCTAAATCATTGAGCTTTATTACAGGTAGGCAAAAATAAAGGATATAATGTGGTCAAATTATTATACCTATTTTATTTTTAACAATAATTAGACAAAGTATTGATATAAAATCTAGGTTCATGTATTGACATGTTCATGTAGTTTTTAATAATTTAGTGACAGAGTGTTATTTCACCATATTACAAACAAAATTAATTATACCTTTATCTTTTCTTTTCAAAACACAAAAAAGTTATAATTTCCAGTTTTTAAAAGAATTATACATATACAAAATATAGAAATGAATGTTTTAAATCTAAATAGCATTTAATAGTGTTCAGCATTTGGTAGGGAATGATAGAATTTGCCTAAATTTCACTGATGAATAGTGATAGCCGTTAAATCAGTCGGTGTCTACATTGTGTACTGTTTATATTTCTGACCTAGAGAAGGGGAGGAAGAAGATGGTGACACCAGGCTGCTAACAAAGGGTTCACACCCTGGCAGTCCCTTCCCTAAGTCCTGAGGTTGTCTCCGTGGCCAGTCTCTTCTCAGTTAGTAGCCTTTAGATTCTCTCTGATGACACTGGAGAGGGGAACTCAGTGACTTGTGCGTGCCAGCCCAGTGCTGTATGACTGAGCGCAGCCCCAGATACTTTTTAAAACATTGTTCCATCATTTAAGATTTAAACAGTTAAGTACGTAAAACCAGGTTAATTTAACAGGATGCGAGTTGAAAATTTCTTTTATCTCAACATTTAAACACACAAAAAAATTCTATTTTTGTGTTCTTGTTTACCTTAAGTTTTTTCTCCTTGAGGCAATTCAGAGACGATGCCTAGCTGTTGCCTTCTTCCAAAATACCAGAGCAACCTTCATGGCTTCTGATAAAAGAGGGAAAATGAGACAAGTCATGTTTTTTTCATCTGATTCAAGTACTTTCATGGGACTAAATTTGGTTGTATTCTAAAACCCAGGAATTTAAGAGACTAATAAATTATTTGCTCAAGCATCTGAAGCAATCATTTATCAAGGCCACTTTGCCACTGCCATTCTAATAGTCATTGATTCATCAAAGCTGAAATGTAAAACCCGAGAACATGACTTAATGGACATTTAGTAAGAAAAATATGATATGGTGAATATATTTGTAATACACAGTTGGGGATTTCTGCATGAAAAATTTAATAGCTTCTTAGTCTGATGACTTTTTAAAACTTACAGTCTTAGATAAGGTGTAAAGTCAAAACAGAGTTTCATGCAGGAAAAATGTTAATAATTTCTACACATTTAAAATTTGAGATAATTTGACTCAGTTAACGTTTGTCAAATGCTTATTATGCGCCAGGAATTTTTGTGAGCATTAGACACACATATGAAGTTTTCAAACTTTGATCTGCTGGATAGAGGCATAACTTTTTTTTTTTTTTTTTACAAGAGTTAAATAACATCAATCACATTAAAATGGGACTGTATTCATGCTTTAGAGCTAACTTACCTTTTATGCGTTATCAGGTAAACTTTACACGGAGTAAATTGGCATATCAGAAAAAATTGGCACTCTGTATTGGTGTAAGTACAGTTTTAAGGGTAGCTTTGAGAGCTAAACTAGACTCTAATCAGTTTTAAAACACTGTTCTGACTGCTGTTAAGTACTCAAAAAAGTAAAATACTAATTTTTTTAAACTGAGCAGTTCTGTTGTACAAATAAATCCAAAGTCTTTCTGAAGTTTAACTATATGTGTAAATTCTAGAGGTTTGTTATGATAAATTTGCAAATATTCTTAATAAAATAGTCTTAGGTGTACTGTTTCAGGTTCTATGAGGATGCAACATTAGATGTTACATGAATTCGGGAAAGACCCTCACAGAATGCTGGGGGCGAGAGTAAAAATGCCAATTTAGGGTCTTGTGCTTGGTCGGGAATAAATATGGGAAGAGTAGGTGGCACCCTCATTAGAGCAGCATCCCGAGAGCGGCACTTCTTGCTGTGAGTTTAGGAATGTTAGCAGATACACTAGATAGAAGAGTGGTCAGCTAAGGTTTGAGTACTGTATTTTATCAGAAACTTAGGCTTTGTGCATGAATATGTAGACTATTAATATTCTCCCGTGTGCTGTGAAAACACCCAGGAGTGGCTGTTGAACAACTGTGTTTA